ATGCTTGTGCCTCTGCCTCAAAAATCAAGTGTTTGATAAACCTGTAAGCATGCTACGTAACAAAAGAATGATCTGCGTAGTGCAAGTAACAGTGTTTCAGTTCTTACTATGTTTTTGGTTTGTTTTTTTTTTTTTTTTTTTCCCTTGTTCCTGCTTTTCTTTTTAAGTTGTATGTCTGTGTGCTCTCTTAAGATTTTTGTCTATGATGGGAAGACTGGAGAGAAAGTGTGTGCTCTTGGTGGAGGCAAAGCTCATGATGGAGGTATTTATGCTGTAAGTATCACTTCATTTGTGCAAATGATCTGTAGTATTTCATTACAGAGTTCATGGACTGTGAAGTCTTGCAATAATAAATGCATTTACTATCTTGTGGTGACATTTGTTTTTACAGATTAGTTGGAGCCCTGACAGTAGTCAGTTGCTTTCTGCTTCCGGAGATAAAACTGCTAAAATCTGGGATGTTGGTGCTAATTCTCTTGTCAATACTTTTAACATGGGATCAAATGTGTTGGATCAGCAGTTGGGTTGCTTGTGGCAGAAAGAGCATTTACTGACTATCTCCTTGTCCGGCTACATCAATTATTTGGACAAGAACAATCCAAATAAGCCTTTACGTGTCATAAAGGTAGGTTAAACTTCTTGTTGCACCCATTTCTGCAGTAAATGACTTGGTGGTTGAAGCTGTCCAGACTGATTTGTTTTCAGTTAAGGTTATCAACTTATCTTTCATAGCAGCTTTTAACCATTCTTGAGATGCAAAAAGAAATAGAGCAGAGATAGAAAACTACTAGGGGTGTCTCATTCTATCAGAGCTAGTGTATTGTGAACAAGGTGACCAGGGTTACTGTGCAGTTGAGCTTTTAATTTTAGAATTTAAAGAGTTCTCTGACACAGCACTCTCCTGGGAACTTACATTTTTACATGAACTAGAAACAGACGTCCCAGATTCTTGCTATTGGTGCTATAATTCAGGCAGTTGATATGGGAACGTGACCATATTTAGTCCTCTTCCATGAATCATAAAGTGCCTGAAAATCAAACTTTGTTGATGAAAAGGCCATGAAAGTGTTCTGGCCCAGCAGTTAATAAGGATTTTCATAGTGCCCATTTGTTCTCTTTAAGGACTAGTACATGGGAATAGCAATGCTGCAACTGTTAAGTGACTGCGCTGTTAATTAATGATTTGTATTCTGGGTGATTTTTAATGCTTATGAAAAAAATGTTATTTTCTGAATAACCTATAATTTTTCTGAAATAGGTTTGATCTATGTATGTGTTAAGATGAAAAATTGCCCATCAATAATTATTTGTGTTCTATTCACAGGGTCATAGTAAATCAATTCAGTGTCTTACAGTGCATAAAAACGGTGGAAAGTCCTATATTTACTCTGGAAGTAATGATGGTCATATTAATATCCTTTGAATGATAGTGGTATTTGTTCTAGCCTTGTAGTCTGAGAACTCATTAGGAGGGGGCGGAAAAAAAAGCTTTGCCAAAGACAAAAACTTATGTTTATTGGACACAACTGAATAGAAGTTAATTTTGCTTTCCCTTAACTTGCCTGTTGTACTGTTTGCTTTTACACTTACCTGCTAAATATGAGCCAGTTCTAAATTTCCAGTTGTCACTTCTTTGTGGTACATAAATTGTTAGTATGGAGAAGCAAGTAAATATATATAAATTAGCTTCTTGAAACTTTCATGTATTGTCATACATGCAAAATTTGTATTGCTCTGTTAAATACAGTAGATCTCAGCATGTTCTGAAAGTCACGTATCTTGTTCTTCAGATGTTCAGGACAAAGAAAACTTTCTGACCTATCTCTGACCCATTAACATGCATTTCTCTTTACAGTTGCATGTTTTCTCTCCTGTATTATGGTGTGGTTTTGAAGTTCTGTGACATACTGATTGTGTTCTTTATTTGGTATCCCAAATGTCAT